TGTATGTCCCTGTTCACGCTCAACTGTTCTCCTAATCCAGTCGATTTCCTACCTGTTCTGTTCAAAGACGGCGATGAATCCCTCAGTCACTGCCAGTCTAAATTAGTTGCATCTGTTTCGGATAAAGTAACCATCAAAGACAAATGAGATGAGGCAACCGTAGTGCTCATTTCCATAAAGGATGTTGGCAGTGATTACAGTCGTTTCATTCTGGCTACCAACGTAACAAAGCTTCTGGTGCCACTGATTCTTCGTCTTCCTAAGAAGGTGTATGAAAACTTAACCGGAACAAGCGAGACTTTGACTGCTTGGAGGTTGTATCGACCACATCATCACATTGCATATGGGATACGGACGACTCACAATCTTAGTGTTCATTCACGTCATAGGTACGTTCGATTTTGTCGATCGGTTAGGACTTCTAGTCCAACAGAAGGTGCCGCAGACGCTCGTGAACACAGTCCGGCCCTTATGTTCATGTCCTCCCGGACAAATTACAGTGTGATCATCCCTCTGAAAATTTTCTTACAAAAAGTGTTGTCTTGCAAGGATTCCGTTCTTTCTATTTTCGTTGGCTCAGTGGTTAGAGCGCGGAGGATCTGACCTCTGCATCTCGACTTCCCCCATCTAAGCGTGGGCAAACTGGCAGCATCCCGTTCCTCGTGTTTCCTTCGAATGGAATGGTAGCCATTCACCAAAAAGGGGCTACAGTCGAGCGATTTATTTTTTTACACTTTCGTTCGAAATCATCATCGATGAACTGATGAGGCTGATGCTTGAAGACCTCGAAATGCAGGTTGTTCCAGTCGTCGCTAGTGAGATTCTTGTCGATTTGGAATATGAAAACAAGATCATCCTTACCCTTGAGGACGAACGCCAAACAAAAGCATTGCCGAATAAACTGACCAACATTATATCCTCTTTCATTCACAAATTGCAAAGCTATTCTTCAGAAGCTTTCCGAACATGTCCCATAGAATTCAAGGAGGCCCGAGTCCTATTTTCTAAGTTGCGTAACTAGTGGTGTCATGAATTCGCATCACTGGGTCGCAAAGCTCCCATGTACCTGGCTACATTAGGGGATGTATTGTTGTATGGTTGCCTCCATGGGCGTCCATGAGCAGCCAGTTTGAAAGATCCTCAAGTTTTTTTACCGCCGATATCTCAAAAGCGCTGCTAACATCAGAAAGCGTATAGAATTTTTGACAAGTTATTAGAAAAGGGGTATATGGTTGTGTGGTAAGTAGTTCAATCGCAGTTGCTCGGTCATGTGCTACAAATGGTGAAGCATCGTCTAACGAGACGAATGTTGTCCCATGTACCTCCTTCCAACGCGCAAACTGTGCGCTCAGCTGTAACACCCTTTCTGCGCCTAGCTGCCACGCCACCCGAACGAAGCACAAGGGCTGGAGTACTGCTAGGTTGCCCAAGCCTAGACTGGGGTGGTCGAGAGGCAGAGGTCAGGTTTGAACCACGGACCTTCCGATCAGTAAATTTGCGCTGTAACCACCCTGCCATCTCGCCCCCGGTGCGTTGGACAATACAAGACTTGGCAGAAGGGTGTGTAAGAGATGACGAAGAGTTTGGATGTTTCGGGTGGAATCCACCTTTCAGAACTGAGTCCACGTCCTTTCATGCCTACGTCTAGCAGGAGACATTGCGAGAAATGTTGGCTAGCCGATTCATGTCGTTTATTCACAGATTATCTGTTTGAGCGCTTGGACGTGCAAGCACTTGAGAGTGCTTGGCACCCGTTCCCTCCAACATTCAGTCTTTTCTTGTTCCATTTTGAGGCTTCAGATACAACCAAAGTTAAATAGCACTGGAGGTAACCTTGTCAACATCAATATTGCCTCGAACGATAATGAGGAGGATGATGTTGATGATGTTCATGAGGGGGAGGAAGTCCACACATGAAACCCAGTCTCTATATGTACCTATCAGCTGCTTTACCGCTATTAACATCCGAACCGCGTAACCCCTTACTCGAGAGCGAATCACAGGCATACGGAGACACAGGGAGCCGGCTGACACTGTGTACGGGATTGGTGTACAAGAGACGGTTTTTGTAAAATTTTAAATGGAAACGTAAGTACATAGAATTAAAGACTGTACAGTATCTTGTCGATTCCACATCATTTCAGAAAGGTACATTTCGTGCATCTAGGAGATATCAATTCTGACCCACCGCGGAAGTCAAATAAGGGACTCCGTATTGGTATCTGCTATTAACTACACATAGGGCAGTGTGGCTTTCTGAAGCACCTAATGAGATTCAGAACCTATGGGAAGGTTTTCAGAGACAATCCGTCACAGCTATGTTTCAATGGTGCCAGCAAAAACGGCCACCTACAAACATAAGCTTTCTGTATATATCAGCCTGGTGGAACGACTCAGTGTAGAAAGGCCTGTTTCGCTCAGCTGTAACACCCTTCAGGTGCCTAGCTGCCATGCCACCTGAGGAAAGCTTGGACTACTGCCGGTTGGCCAAGCCTAAACAGGGGATGTCGAGAGGCAGAGGTAGGAAGAAGGATCTATGTGACAAGTGTTTATGACCACTGGAATGTCTGTATTGCTGAATCCGGATACATAGTTTAAAGTACATCGGCCAACCGAACCAACCACTCAAAGGTGCACACTGTCAGTGGTGTTTTGCTCACCCTGGTAACTGTACTACCAGACCTAAACGTATCCAGAGCCATCTTCATCAGTGGTTAGAGGGCGAATTTACTGACCGGAAGTCCGCGGTTCGAACCCGACATCTGCATCTTAACCTCTCCTGGCTAGGCATGCGCAACCTGGCACTACCCCAGCCCTCGTGTTTCCCTCGGGTGGCTTGGCAGCTAGACACCGAAAGGGTGTTATAGGTGAACGATCTTTTTCTTAGTCAGTTTCACACTTCATCATTGCCCGTACTGACCTGGTTCTCTCCTGACATACCACACTTTCCGCTCACGGTCTTAAATCCTTCAGGTACACAATTTTCACGAATGAATAACTTCTTTTTTAGGTTAGTTGACAAGCACTACTTGATATCCCGTGGAACTCAGCGCAGTGTTAATTAGACCTGCTAGAGGAAAGTAGGTTGAGATAGCTCTCTGCCTAAGGGGCGGAGCCACCGATCGAAAGTGCTGTGGTTCGAACCCAACTCGGGCTTCTTGATTCGCTCGTTCTCGGGCTTGAGGGACCTGGTACTATCTCAGCCCATGTGTTTTTTTCGGACTGTATGACACATATGAACCTAAATGCGTCACAGTTGGACGATCACTAGCTTAACAGAAAAGAAGAACAATCATGAAAAACAACCGATTCAAAAAGTAGTCATTTGCAGACGTTTTACCTTTAGAAGCTGATTCAATTACTGTCTCAGAATCACTTTGTTTGTTGTTTGGTCTCGTGCTTTGATTAGAAATAGAGTCGAATTATATTTCGGATTTTCATCTTTATATAAACTATACAAGGACGTTTGTGGGAGCAGACCCCTAGGAGATGGTTAAGGTCCCTCAATTCTTGCTAATACTACTTTGTAAGAAAGGTGTGATTAGAACCACCAACTGCGTCCGGAAAAGAATAAAACTTCGGTAGCGCATTTCAGCCAAATGTGATGCAGACCGAAACGACAGCATCAATGCTCATATGACGATGACTTTTTGGGACATGTACGGACAATAGAAAGATCGAGTAACTGAAGCATTAATCTAGCCTACATTACCGTTTCAAAGTGGTGTTTGACCATTGTTGGGAAGAGAGAGAAATGACCTTCATATTCACGATCTAGAGTGCGTCTGCTCAAAGCTGGCGATATTTAGCAATGTTTGAATACTGACCGTTTTCTAACAGTCTTTGGGACGATAATCACAGATATGCATTTTAATAGTCCCAAACCACCTGGTGTAGTTCACCCGTGTCTGGCGTGAAATCCATGAGAATCATCAAAGGAAAACTGAATTTGGATTCCCTAAACTATGCTCTACTTCACTATTACAATAGACTCACCAGCGAAACCAAGCTGAATCACACTTCGCAAAAAATACCCAAGTGACGATTGGTCAGAATCTGTAGACAGCCCACTACCGATTCGGTCCCCTTGGAGGCCCATCAGGTAGACGTGTGCATGATGAAATGACTTGAAGCGAAGTCCCGTCATCATAAGAGCCCAGTCAAATCGCTATGCGACTCCCAGATCCTGGCCATTATGCCTATCTTATTAGCGCCAGTCAGGATGAAACTGTGTACCGAACAGTCTGCGGATACTAGGCAAGGGGCCTCCGTCTAGTAGCTTTGCAATAGAATCTCGAGGTACAGTTGACTCAGTTGATTCCGGTCTGATAGGCAGGCTCACGTACAAAAACGAAGTGATACGTTCCATGTGACTGGATTTATCGATTAGCAACTGATCTTACCCAATAGCATGTATTGACTGACATGTACATGGTAATCCGTGTCGTGCTGATCTTCTGTAACCTCACAATGCCATCAACTGGTGTTGATTCCGCGGAACATTTCGACGGTTTTCCACTTCTTTCAGTATGTTTCATTGATGCATCATCCGAATTTCTCATACGACCCGATTTCATGTTTTTCTGTAGTTCCTCAACAAATGCCATTGTGACATTTCCTTTTTAGACGAAAGGTGATGAAGAGAACATTTCAGGGAGTACAACACGGTTTCTCTGTGATTCGAACTCTTTTTTACAAAAAACAAGTTCGGTGCAACCATGTCGGTCTCTCTGAACGGGGTTTGCGTTTTGAGAGGTTGCATGTATGTCTTGACTATAGAAACCGTACCTTTGCATAACCCATTAACTCGCAATTCCCACTCTATATTTTCAGCTTATGTACTACCGTTATTAAACGATTAAAGCGTACATTACGTCCTCTTATTCTGTCTTCTTTCTAATCTCGTCCAGGAACTACTCGACTCTCGCAACAATGTGGCACAGAATACTGTGTCCACGTGACTGTACTCAGTCGATACTTCATCAGGTATTTGTTCACTTATGGGGACGGAGATTGTGGCACAACTTGAGTACCGAAGAACAATTAGGCGTAAATCTCATATAGAATCTTTCAGCTGTAGCACCCTTCCGGTGCCTAGCTGCCATGCTACCCGAAGAAGGCACGACGGCTTGGATACTGCTAGGTCGCCCAAGCCTAGACAAGGGCAGTCGAGAGGTAGAGGCCGGGTTCGAACCATGAACCTTCCAGTCAGTAAATTCGCGCTCTAACCACTTGGGCCATCTCGCCCCCACATCTCATATAGGCGACTGATTAAACTGTGCCAACAAACAAGCAGCGGTATTCAAATGGAGAAATACATATCGTGAAACAAGTCATGGCCACAATACGACAGCACTCATGGTGTCATCTGACTAGCTCGGAAAACCGACGCCGAATCGTAGCAGTGCAATGTGCTCAGTCCACAGCCCAAAATTTAAAAAAAAGGAAAATGAGCTTCAAATAGTTTTGGTAACTTATCTCATTCATTCGATTGTTGCGCGCTCTGTCAGGCAAAAAATTTCGAGGCCACCAATCACTTTGACTATCGGTACAACAACCCTAGAGACATTAGGAAACCATCTAAGACAGCCCGTCACAGTCAAACGAATGTCAAGACGTTCACCATGACATGACAAACGCTTTCTGCATGACACCCTAAACCACCAGTCAGGTAAACTAGGGCGTCAAAAATCGAAATTTGAAACATCATCCTAACATGACTTACCGTTGTAACAACAGATTTGAGTTGTTTCGGGCTATCCAAAATGCATACATGCATATATCGATCCGGCTATATGGTTAATCACATACACCGCCGCGCGCGAACTAGCATGCCTGCATGCGTGCCTGTGCATGTCTGTGTAAAATAACGTGGATTATTAGCGATTGTGCGAAAACAAAGGAACGTTAGAGAATGCCACAATCATACACGTACACACACGTACGCACACCACCACCGCCATCACCGCTATCATCAGCATCCTCATCGTTCGTGCATGTTGCTCGGAGCAGTGTGTATGAAATGTCTGCTCGTATTTGCATAGTTATGTTGCCTGTGTGCGCGTATGAGAACAGAATTTCCCGCCGTGTGCATTGTGGGCGTAGTTGACTTTGTGGCTGGCCTCAGTTTAACTGCTGGCCTTGAGTATCCGAGCCACATGCTGGTTGTGCTGCCTAAGCCGGTCTGGTTAACAATGTGTGCCCAGGCCAGACAGCATGTGCAGCAGAGTCAATAGGTGACGGGGACGGCCCAAAAACAACCTGGGTATCCGAAAGGGAATTTACGTCCGACAACTAGAGTGATGAGCTGTTTGTCAGCTGTTTTGACTTGCACATGGGATGGAGGGGTGGGGATACTGGCCTGCGCAAACGAGTGTGATTTAGGTCTGACGCATTTCTGTACTTGAAGAGTGATTGGTTAGCTGGGATGAAAGCAAAGAATGGAATCGACATTCCTTAATCGGATTGGTTCGTCTGACCATGTGGTCACCCAACGGCCGTGACAGGCGTAGGAGGGGAAGACTGGGTTTGGCGACCGAGTTCGCTTTTTCCGCGCAGCGGTGCTGACCGATCTGTGACATCCGAGTCGGACACACTGGCTTGTGTCTGTCTTCCGCTGACTGACAGTTGTAAACCAATGGGGTTTGAGATAATACAGGCGGTCACACCAGCTGACGGGTTGAAACTCGATCTAGACAAGGAGAAAATGAACGACTGTTGTGAAAACCTAACAATCAGATTGTTTCTTACCACGGCCACTTTTCACCTACATCTCTGCATGCAAAATGCCCCACACCTCTTGTTTCTAGTCTGAGGTCGAGCTATACTACTGAAACCTATTGAAACCTCACCTTGAGACGATGCAATTTGACCGGTCCGTGGTAACCTTTACGGGTTGTGCTACTACAGTGGTGAGGGGTCACCCTAAGAACATATGTTTTTTTAATATATCTCTCGAAAATATCAAGAGCGAACTTCCAACGCCCTGATACGCAGCGTGTTGCACATCAACTAACCGGAAGGTCGCGGAAACCCGGCTGTCCAGAATGCCTGCTAGCACTGAACCTGAGTGATTCGGCTGTTTTCGGTCAAGCATATAAGTCACGCAGCGTTGCACTAACGATGTATTTGCGAACCCAATATTTAAACCCTACATCCTACTCCGGATTGCACTATCACCGTCGCGTTGAAGTTCTAACATCGAAACTAGGACTGTGACGTAGTAGTCTTCCGCCGAATGCTAATGTCGAACTGCAGTTCAAAATAGTCAACGATTTTTCTGATGAAGATTCCGCAACTGATATCAGTTTGGTCTGAACAAGCCGAGCATTGTGTTCACCAGTTTGCATAGAGCTTTTAGCTCCCACTTTCATGGTTGGATATTCGAACAATTTTGTAAGATTTCTCGATGAACTCCATAGCATACTTTCATGTGACGTGACTCGGTAACCAACCAAAGACGACCCGGTGTCAAAGATTTCCTGGGAGATGACAGACGCTCTAGGTATCACGCAAAATTTCTTGATTTGACAACAGTGCATTTCTTGTCCCGCGTCAGATCTTTTAGGGGTTTTGTTGAGACATCTTAGGCACATCAAGAGAGAATTCTTAGCATGATGAGGTGTGTGACTGTGTACGTACATAATTTTTTATGCGTTGTTACTGGACCTTATGTAGTACCCAAGACCTGTTACATCGTCCAAAGCTACCTCTTCTCTATCAAGACTTGGTCAATCGACGGCGAAAGGTGAGTGCATTATGATGCTGTTGGTTGACTAGCCTGGATATCATCGTCACATAGGCGTATTATTGCTATTTTTAGTATGATTATATTTTAACCGCGGTCCTGCTTTTGTACAGAGTGCCACATAAATTAAGAGTATGGTTGACACATTCCTCTGCCTGTCTATGTTGGGAAGACTAATTTCAGTTGATAGTTACTGTTGCCCCATTAATCAGTAGTAGTTCTTATCTCCCATTTACGTAATGAAGGAACGCTATTCATTCAGACAAAACTGCCTGTATGCAAGTCCAGAGCATGAATCATTTGCTCAGTCACATTATTCACTGGTGAGTTCCGTTCACTTTTCGCTCACACTTATCGATCGACTAGAATGCTCGCACTCAAAGGTCAGACATTACCTTGCGCGTTTTCCAACCGACCGTTCCATCGGTCTTTGCACTCGATTTTCTGTACAGTTGTCAGTTTACAACACAGCTGTCTATCGCTCTCAGTCCGTCGTCTCGGTCCATCAGAAGTAGGCCTACATCACCGTGGTATTCAGACACATATCAGATACCGCCGCTGGCACCTTGCCGTCTGTACAAATGTAATCGATTTTCTACTGTTTGAGTGTGAAAGGAGTTGTGATTTACGTCGAGTTGAACAAACTTGTGTCCCTGCATAGCATGATCATTCACAAAGCTGAATGAGTTGCTATTTTTAGCATTGGTTTTATCCTCAATATCGATTGTATCGACCATCCTTTCAGGACTTGGATTTAACTGGCATACTAAGAGCATCTTGAAGCCACAAACAGTAATCTGAATCCCACGCACACACACACACACACACACACACACACACACACGGTATTCTAACATTAGCAGAAAATTGTGCGCGCCAACACAGTGGCTTGTGACGCTGTATGCGAAATCTTTAAGATGTGACTTCGTCATACAGTGGAAATGATATTATTACTCACTACCGCCTAATGCAGACCCATACCCAAATGATGAAAGCTATGGGGGGTGTCAATGCAAGCAAGCGGATGAAGCAAGTCTTCGATGATGACAGTTTCTAATTACGTCGCCTGTACAGCTATGTTTGCGAAATCCGCGTTGTAACTTTGGGCTCACCGGTTTTGAACGACAGAAAAGGTCAACAATCGCAACCAAAACGTCTAGAATTTTTGTGGACTGTCAACGGGTGAGAAGCAGTAAACTGAATCTTGCCCCGTCATTTGATTGCCAAAGTGTTCAGTGAAAATAATCCTGATTCAGGTAGACTGAGAGTAGTATGAATCAAATCGCTGATTTGACGTCTGACAAGTATGGGAATTGGACAACTTGAAATGCCGATAGTCACAACAAAATGAGGGTGTGCATTAGCGAAATACACTCGTTTGCAGACACATTGGGTTTTTGGGAGAGACTCGCCTAGAACCCAGCTGAAGCTCTCGTTTATGATGTTTCTAAGTAACTGAATATGCTGCACCAGGTCGCCTCATGCTTCGTTTGATACGATATTTGAGATATCACGATACATGTATGGGCTTAATCCAGTACTCATAAGGTTGTTGGAAGTTCTTCGACAGCTTACGATTGGTTTCGCCCTTCTTAGGGCTCATCAGGTAGGCGCAGTCCCCGGGTCTCGCAAAACCAAATTCGTTTGCAAGCGAGTGTGTTTCGCTTAGTTCGTGCAACCTGGTTTCACCTAGAACATAAGCTTGACAGAAACTCGGGGACTGCACCTACCTGATGAGCCCCAACATGGGCGAAACCGGTCGTGGGCTGTCGAAGAACTTTCGGGAACGTTATGAGTAGTGCGTTATGTTAATATCAGTGTGTTTCCTTCATTTGGGGATCCGGCGAATCGCTGGACACGTGTGTGTGCTTGCCGAAACACTTACCTGTTATTTCAAGACGCTGCAAGCTTATTCCTGGTGATGTATCCTGGACTCAACCTTGGTTATTGATTACTTACTGGGCCAAACTTTTTGCAATTTTTCTGCAATGTTGTAGAGAAAACGACTTCGTCCTATATAGTTTTTCCTCAGCAACGTAAACACGTGTTGTAAAATGCAACATTTCTGGGGAATTTTCTAGAATACCATGTTTCTGGGATAGCCCCTCTGGGTGCGACGTGCGTCTACCAAACTAAGACATTGTGTGATATTTGAACATCTCCCTTTACTGGATTTCCAAAGCAATTACTATCATTTCTGGAGCTCAATTTGTCCGCAGAAACACTTACGGACTGTAGGGAGATTGTTGGACTGAAAAATAGACTGTATGTGACTGTATGCACATATGTCAGGCGTGCCAACTCATGCAAAGTACACATTGCAGTAAACTAACCACAAACGTGTGCATGTGTTTGCTGATTCACCTGCTTGTTATTGATCACCTTGCCTTTGGTTAGTCATCCCTCATAATCATGTACTAGTACTAAAATATTTCAGCTTCAAGCGAAAGTCATATCTTCCGGAGCAGGCAAGCCAATCCCGTTGGTGTTGAGTGAGCTTTACCGGTTAGTACTGTTCATGTGAAACAAACCGCTGATAAAACCTTGATAAAAGGGAAAGCAGTGGAACGGAAAACCAAGACATAGCGGAACAATCACACCAGGCTAGCTCAATAGTATGCCGAATGGTACTTGATTAGTACTCCTAGTTCCTGAGTAGTACTCATTTATTAGGAATGTTTACCAGGTAACCATCCTTGGCAGAACTAAATGAGGAAGCACGCACACTCCTCCTCGAATGAAGCACGCACATTTTGAAGCTAAAACAGATCAGGTGTTGGTGGTCGGTTATTTTGTAGAATGGGCACTCAGATGACTCTCGTTTGAACAATGGTCCTCCTGTCCTGGCGCAATTATTCTGGTGAGCCCCCACCGAAGGGATGGGTGGGAAGCTCTGGACTCGAGTTTTGTTCTTACTAGAGTTCATCGGCATATCCTTGGCCGTACCAGGGGCAGATCATTTGATATTTAACTGCTGGATCGCTACCTTACTTATTTTCACTCAAAAGAATCGAACATACGTCCACATTATTGGAGTACCCATACTGGTGTCGGTCAAAACGTATAGACTGCGTAAGCATGCTTCATTTCAGTGGAGCTGCCTGAGTAGCATTAATATGAATGCGATTTCAGCTGTCTGATTTCGCTCAGCATTTACATTGTTCTACGAGATACGTACCTTAATTCGTAGTCGTTAGAGCAGCCTCACCCATTTTGAATGAAGCGACAGATTGGAGAGATAATCATGTGCGAGTGTATGGAAGGTGTGCACAAATCCGACTGATTACAGGCTTTCTAACAATGAGCATGTCAGCTAGAGCGATATGTATGTATCAATTCACGTGTTACAACTGAAAAAAATCGTCCAGCTGTAGCACCTTTCGGTGCCTAGCTGCCATGCCACCCGAAGGAAGCACGAGGGCTGGGATACTGTCAGGTCGCCCAAGCTTAAACAGGGGAATTCGAGAGGCAGGGGTCGAGTTCGAACCACGGACCTTCCGGTCAGTAAATTCGAGCCCTAACCACTTGGTTCATCCCGCCCCCATTTACAAATGACCTTTGTTTTTTACGTTACTACTAGAAATTAGATCGGATGGAAAAATAGTCATGAATGACAATTAACGGTAATGAGGTGGAAAGAGAGTAGTTGTGCGGGATGGTACCGTTTTGAAAGTTCTTGTCATCCGTAACACGTGTCACCCAAGTAACAAATACATGGATGTAGATATCAGCGTTAGAATGTCTAAACTCGAAGGTAAATGGTGCAAAACCGGGTCCAATTAACTTAGGTCTTTTCGTATCAAAGACGTGGCCTATATCGTGTGACCAACAAGGTTTCAAGACGAATCGACAAATGGGCGTTTACGGGCTGAAGAAACGCAAGTCTGGCGGCAGTGGTTAACAAGATGTTTGGTGCGGCAAGAAGCAGGGTTCCAAACAAAAGCGGAATAACAGTTCTTCGATTGGTCTAAACATTTCAGCGTGTACTTAGAAAAGCGTTCTTTTGCCCCAAACATTCCAGCCCTCCGCCTATAGAGTTATCAGCAGGGCCAGTCTGAGGAAGAAAACTCCGATGGAGTGCTGCTGACTCGGTGCTGGATCGAACAAGTGATACAGCACAACAGTCGATAGGACAAAGAAATCAATAACAGGAACGGAATGCACGCGTGGTGGGAATGATTAGTAATAAGTCAGACAGCAGTGTAGGACGATTGGTCGCATAGACATCATGCAAAACACCTCATCCTTGGGGCTTTTCTTTAAACAGGTTTAGCTACTCATCGCTTGAGTTAAAATGATGATTTATATTAATTACCTTGATAGGTGATCAAAGGAATAAGGAATGTCGCGTTTTGGGTGGTGCGGGGCTCGGTTGGGAAGGGGTAATTATGTTTTCGGTGTCAGTGGAACGGAGCTGGAGAAGATGGGATGTCAGAATGAACTGTTGGACGAGTCTGTTAGGTGCATATTGGAGTGATAAGGCGCGTCACTTACTTACACCCTGTATACAACTTTTCCAGTGCGTTGCACAGCTGCTGTCCCGAAAAATCCCTTACATAAATGTGGCCATAAGGGTAATAAAATCTGAAACTGTTTCATTTCGTCTCAGGGGCTTTCTACTAAAGTCACATTTTGCTAGCAACACTACTTCCGGGGGAAACCCACGCACTTCTCAATAACCGCTTTGTCTTATAACTACTGTCTGGGTACCAATCTACCCATTGTCACCAAATATGACCGCAAAAAAAATGGTGCGCGTTTTGTTTGGTGCATCAACAACTTCCTGGCTTCATAAGCTTTTGTGTGAAAATATCAAGAAAGCATTCACCTTGACGAGCGGACTGTGGATGGTCGATTGGTCTTTGAAAATACTGAATTCCTGGGTACAGAAAAAGCCAAGCAAACTCGTAATCTGGTAATGTGTCGAAATATTGGTAGCTCGGGTGAGTTTTATTGATTTTGATCAGGTGACTGTTGATCTGTCCGCCGAGATTGGCTATTGACTTGCAAACTTTCCGTCACCATACGAGGAGACATCATCAGTGCGCAGTTGGGTGGGTACCTCCTGGGGTTTCCTTCGGGGGAGGAAAGCAAGCCACAACGCAACAAATCACGAACGGATCAATAACTCTACGAAAAACGCTGTCACCCAAATAGCCAGTTACGTTGGGAGATAGTAGACAGCCTTTACGTGCTGTATAAGCGCACGCAGGTCAACAGACGGTACCCACCCAACCGCGTACTGATGACGTCTCCCGTACGGTGACGAAACGTTTGCAAGTCGATTGCCAAGCTCGGGGAACAGATCAACAGTCAACTGATCAACAAACAATGGACTCATGATCCGCCAAATGAATTTCACCATCCCTCAGCAGAAACACTGGCCCATAGTACGCCAACCGTTTCTACGGTTGAGGCCCGGCCAACCACCAAGCATCCCAGTCCGCTTTAAGAGTGCGTAGACAACGACCAGAAACATATGCCCTACCACTGCACCAACGAAATCCATTGAGTTTCCAGGCCATGAGAAAGAAAACAACTGAAATTTTACTGAGGATTAGACTGCCATTGCACAACGCACGTAGCTATGGAAAGGCGCTTCATTGCTTGCATGAGCGGAGGATCAATAGCCACAAATTTTAACGATACCTTTCACTCTACTACTTGATGCCGATGTTTGTCTGATAGGACAGCACGGTTGCTCAGCACTAGGCAATTGTCCATTATTTTTAAACAGCTGTCGCCATTCATCCTCTGGTCCCACAGAACCACAATTTCGGAAACATCACAAACGGCCATGTGTGTTTCCTCTTGAATATGCTGAAGTGGCAAGTGGCAAGATGCTGTACGGATTCGGAGAAAAATAGTTGAATTTAACAAGCAGTTGGAAATGATGTTAACATTATACTGTGATAGCCAATAGCCTGTGGCTTCGCAAAACGATGATGTTGCTTTTGAAGTGATGATCAAATCGCAGCCAGTATTGGAGGTGGTCTGTATTGTGGCATGGATTCCGGTGATATGAAAACGACTAACTATGGTTTGCGATTTGCGTAAAGGATCAGCTGTCGGTCACGTGACATTTTGTAACTGTAACGCGTTAACAAGAGGTCAAACGTGAGTACATGTTTAATGTGGGAGCAAGCTCACTCAGACGAAGGATGATCCGTCCAGAACATGAACTAGAAGATCCTGGAACTCATTGAAGGGCAGAGCTGGGTGCCAATAGGTATCCATACCAATAAGCTTCTTTATCTACCACTCTTCGGGTTTCTTGACAGGGTATTACTTCTAACGGTAACTGAGGATTAGCGATACCAGATTTATTCCACATCTAAGCTGGTTATCCTGATTACAGCATGAGTTGATAACGACCATAAGCGGAGGATCATGAAAATTCCGAATAGGCCGAAAAGCGCCGGTCGCCACACAGATCTAACTTACGTCAAAACGACTAGCCTATGTGTAACCAGACGTCGCCCGAATCTTGACTGGTTACGTGTGACTAACTACGCTACTGGACCCTCGTATTCGTACGAAAAGTCCTTCCATGTATGAATACGGACATAAACAAAATATATCAGTTGTGGCAGCTACCACATGGATAGTTGTTCACATCTTATTTGTTTCATCTGACTTGCATGGATACTGGGGGAAATTAGATGATGATGACTCTTTGGAATTCGCGCATCGATTCGCCAAGAGAACACTTCTCAGAAGGATCACGGGCTACTCATCTACAGAAACGCATAGAATATCTCCAGAATCAGTCTGCATATTCCATCACTTCTTTCCCGGTAAAGGTAGGGAACCAATCGTGTAGTGTGTACACCAATGTCGGTTGAAAACTCTTTGACAGCCCACGACTGGTTTCGCCATTCTTTAGGCTCATCAGGTAGTCCCCGAGTTTTCGTCAATCTTAGGCTAGAGTTGAATTCAAACTGGACAGATTTCGACAAATATTGGTTTGGTTCTTGCGTGATCTGAGCCTGCAAGTGCTGATGTAACGGTGATATATGCTGTGTCTGTCAGTTCGCACCACTGAATTGCGTCGGATTGCACAATTACTTCCCGCTCGGCGTGACTTAACCTTGGAAGATTGGTATAAGAGTCGACAGAGAACAACCAGGAACGCCAAGTGACATTGTATTCCCTTTCTTGATGAGTTGGCCTATACTCTATGTTTCCACGGCAAATATGACTCTGATGTTTGCTACACACGTCTTTTGGACACAGACTGGATAGGAAAAAATGATCTGTGCTATGTATGGTTTAATTTTATTTGGGACTTACGTAGCACCATTCAGTTGGCAACATTTCGTGACGTGGATGCAGCTTTCAGTAAATCACGTGCCGATTTTGTCCAACATCCACCAGACACGTTTTCCGGCGNCATGGATACTGGGGGAAATTAGATGATGATGACTCTTTGGAATTCGCGCATCGATTCGCCAAGAGAACACTTCTCAGAAGGATCACGGGCTACTCATCTACAGAAACGCATAGAATATCTCCAGAATCAGTCTGCATATTCCATCACTTCTTTCCCGGTAAAGGTAGGGAACCAATCGTGTAGTGTGTACACCAATGTCGGTTGAAAACTCTTTGACAGCCCACGACTGGTTTCGCCATTCTTTAGGCTCATCAGGTAGTCCCCGAGTTTTCGTCAATCTTAGGCTAGAGTTGAATTCAAACTGGACAGATTTCGACAAATATTGGTTTGGTTCTTGCGTGATCTGAGCCTGCAAGTGCTGATGTAACGGTGATATATGCTCTGTCCGTCAGTTAGCACCACTGAATTGCGTCGGATTGCACAATTACTTCCCGCTCGGCGTGACTTAACCTTGGAAGATTGGTATAAGAGTCGACAGAGAACAACCAGGAACGCCAAGTGACATTGTATTCCCTTTCTTGATGAGTTGGCCTATACTCTATGTTTCCACGGCAAATATGACTCTGATGTTTGCTACACACGTCTTTTGGACACAGACTGGATAGGAAAAAATGATCTGTGCTATGTATGGTTTAATTTTATTTGGGACTTACGTAGCACCATTCAGTTGGCAACATTTCGTGACGTGGATGCAGCTTTCAGTAAATCACGTGCCGATTTTGTCCAACATCCACCAGACACGTTTTCCGGCGTCTTTACGGACGATTTAGGCGAATGCACAAAAGTCCAACCTCAGCTGTCCTAGAACCGGAAAACAGTTCGGTAACTTGTCGCGAATTTCCTGCGCCGTAGCGTTATTGGAAGCTGACAAATATGAACTACTCCTCTTGGGCTATCCCTGCTTCAGTGGCTCCAGTGGACTTTGTTGCGATTCCTCAAGTGTTACGAACAAGGCTTGAGTACACATCAGTATCCGCTTCCTGTGCCAGAAGACATAC